CTTCTCAAAAAGGGCTTCCGGGAAAAAGCGAACACAGTGGTGGGTGTCAAGGATTTCTGTTGACAATATTCTGTGAGACCCCAGCCTGGTTACCCGACGGCTTGTTCGGCACTGTTTCTTAGTGTCTGCTGAGTAGGGGGATTGAGGGACAATTAATTGAGGATGTTGAGACAATTAACTATTCTCCTCTTGACACGCCTGAGGGTGGCTAAAACTGAAACACAGAAATTATGCAACCGCACCAGTCTCTGGACTCCAGACTTCAGTTTCATCTGATGAGAGTGGCTCTGAGCTTTTATCCCAGTACGGATTTGTTTAGTCATGGAAGCTCCTAACATAATTTTAGAGCTGTGTGGCCAGGACTCTTTGGTCATCTGGTGAAAATGACGTTACCAGGAAATGAAAGTACTCCTAGCTCTGGAGAAAGTTGTGTGTCAGGACCAAGTAGAAAAAAACAAAAACCAACAAACCAACAAATCAAAACAAAAAGAGCAGAAATCAGCAGTATATGTAAGCAAAAGAGAACTGGTTTACTGTGGACAATTTGGGCAAACCAAAAACCAAACCCATTGCTGTTGAGTTGATTCTGACTCATAGTGACCCTGTAGGACAAAGTAGAACTGCCCCATAAGGTTTCCAAGGAGTGGCTGGTGGATTCGAACTGCTGACCTTTTGGTTAGTAGCGCAACGCTTAACCACTGTGCCACCAGGGCTCCAATTTGGGTAAAGGGTAAGAGTATTAATACTTCACTGATAACTTCTAGAAGCTCCTAAGGTTAGTGTAGTCTCCAATATGTAAGACAATATTTTTCAGAAGAAACAATTTGTAATTGCACATTTGTGTTTATGTTTGAGTATCTGGCCATATAGGAATTTGCATTTTTTAGAACGCTTTACGAAGACTCAAAAGAAGTTGGAAAAATATTCACTTTTCACCGTCTACTCTTTCTGAATTCCTTCTCTGGTCTGGCTTTCATGTGAGGCACAGGGTAGTGGAAACCGAATGGTTTTGGAGTTACATAGACCTGGGTTTAAATCCTATTACTGACTGTGTGACCTTGAGCAATTAGCCTCTCTGAGCTTCAGCTTCCTTACCTCTGAAATGATTATAATAATCCTTACTACAGGATCGGTACAAATAAAGCCCTGATCAGGTGCTTGGTCAGTAATACACAGTAGATGCTCAGCTATATATGGGCTGCAGCAAATCTTAGACCCCAAAGAACCAAACCCATTGCCATTGAGTCAATTCTGACTCATAGCGACCCTGTAGGACAGAGTAGAACTGCCCTATAGGTTTTCCAAGGAGTGGCTGGTGGATTTGAACTGCCGGTCTTTTGGTTAGCAGCCGAGCTCTTAAACACTGCACCACCAGGGCTCCCAGCATATCTTAGACTCATTCAAAATGCCACGTTAAAATGGATTTATCATAAAGTGATAATGATGCAAGGATAGACATATAGGTAAGAGCAACAGAATAAAGAGTTCAGAAGTAGGCCCACAAATACATGGTTAATTGATTTTTGACAATGGTGCCAAGATAATTCAGCTAATTAATGATGCTGGAACAAATGGACATCATAGGTGAAAAAAAAGAACCTTGACCCATACCGGCACCATATGCAAAAATTAACTTGAAATGGATCATAGACCTATATATAAGAGCTAAAATTATAAAACTTCTAGAAGAAAAACAGGAGAAAATCTTTATGAACTTGGGTTAGACAAAGATTTCTTAAGATAGGAAATAAAAAACATAAACCATAAAAAAATTGATAAATTGGCTTTCATGAGTATTAAGAACCTATTACTCTTCAAAAGACACTGTTAAGAAAATGGAAAATCAAGTCACAGATTAGGAAAAAATCTTTACGAAGTGAATTTATCTCCTTTTACATTGTTGTCTTCCTTAAGTTCTGGCATAGAATCAATATAATTAATAATTCTTGCACTTTCTAGATGCTTTCCCCTCCCACTAATTATTTCTACCATTATTCCCCACCGTACTTGTCACAATATTGCTATGAGTAAGGGTTAGAGAGAAGATGGAGCTGTAAGTTATGAGGTTGCAAACTCCATGTCTTAAAATCCATTCCTGGGGGTGAGAGAAAAGGGAAAGAGCAGCAATAGAAACTCTGGAGACAGCACATACTAGGAAGCTCAGTTTTATGGGCCACCACCTGTAAGCGCTGACTACTAGCCAAAAGGTTAGCGGTTTGAACCCGCCCAAAGGTGCCTCAAAAGACAGTCTTGGCGATCTGCTTCTGAAAGGTCACATCCTTGAAAACCCTATAGAGTAGTTCTACTCTGCACGCATGGGGTTGCCATGAGTCAGAACTGACTCAAAGACAACTAACAACAACAACAACCTCTACCTGGGCTGATGCACATTCGGAAGCAACCTGCAGCCCTTGGAACCAATAAGGCGCTTGCAACAATCACGACCTTAAGTGTATAGACTGAGCACGCACGTTATGCCGGCCATGGTGCTGAGTGCTTTTACTTGTATCATTTCATTTATCCATAGTAGAAACATCCATGCGTGGAGTCAGCGGGATTAAGGGGGTGCAGGACACCAAGCAGGCCTCTAGCAGAATTTCCTCCCTTACTTCTGCAACGGATTTTGTTCTTCCTATGTCTCTGACCTGCTTAGTTCTCTGGACTCTTTCTGGATTTGTCCCTGCCCCTGTATCTCTTGGCTTTACAGTTTGGAGACTATTGGCTCAGGTTTGAGATTTATCTTGTTTGAAACTTTAACTTTGGTTTCATGTTTTGGCCTCTGGGTTCACACTTTCTTGCTCCTTATATCTGGTAACCCCTTCCCCCACCTCCTCCCTCCCTCCTCAAAGCTCTTAGCCAGTTCCAGTTCACAGTGCTTGACAAATCCTGGGTGATTACTAATCTCGTATATCCCAAGATACACAGTCAACAATCCTGGGACCAATAGGCATCTCTTTCATGGGCTGCTCTTGTTCTATTGACCCGACATACCACTGTAGCCTAGTAGGTGGAAGTCTCCAGGTACTTATGCTGAATACAGATTGAAAAGGTAGCTGGGGAGCTTTTGAAGTTTTGACATAACTGTGAGGGTATCTTTATTGATGTGAACAAAGTTCTAGTGTGTTGACGACCTTGGTGTTGGGATGGTCAGCTGCTGATACCTCATTGCCAGCGGGGAGTTATGGATGAGCACAGCCTCAAACCATAAGGCGAACAGTCCAGTGGGGTGAACAGCAGCATGTGCTCATCTTCCAGCTCTTTCCACAGGTGTCCCACCAGAATTAGGGTCGGACGCCCCAGGAGGGTTCCTGTAGCAACAGTGATGGTTCCAGTGCCTGGGCCATATATGTTCTGGTGAACAGAGGACAGAGGGCAGTTGCCATGCTTCCCTTCAGCTTTTTCCCTTCCCAGCAGCAGAACCGTAATAGATGTTTCCTTTACAGTTGGTTTACAAGACAGTCTGACTGGAATCCATAGGCCACGGACAACTGGGTGCAGAGGATCCCTCATGCTTTTCTTCAAGTGTAAGCTTATCAGAATAAGCATCCCAGGGACAAGTCGACTGCTGACGTCAAAGTCCTCAGTGCCTCTTCCGTTTGTAATCGCAGCAGCCATGTACACACAGGATCTACCTGGCTTTTAAAAACTTGAACTGTGTCTAGTTGCTCACCAGCAGAATTCCGGCTCCTCGCCTGACCTTCCGGGGACGGCAAAGAAATGTGTGAATGGTCTCTGTGTGACGTTCCAGAGGAGCAGCTATGCGTGGCAGAAGTGGAGTAAAGCCTGCCCACAGTGTCTTTCCCCGACTCACGATTCCACTTCACACAGACCATTGAAAAGAATCTGGAAGATGAGGCTTTGTATTAAAAAAAAAAAGATGGGTGAGCTGGACGTGGAAGACAGATAGAATCTCTCTTTGTGCTTTTAAAGCGCTAACCTGCACCAAGCCAAAACCCAAACCTGTTGCTCTGGAGTTGATTCCAACTCTCAGCGACCCATGTGTTTCAGAGTAGAATTGTGCTCCATAGGATTTTCATGGCTGTGACCTTTTGGAAGCAGATTGCCAAGCCTTTCTTCCAAGGCACCTCTGGGTGGGTTCAAACCACCAACCTTCTGGTTAGTATTCGAGCACTTAACCATTTGCACCACCCAGGGACTCCAAATCTACAGCAGTCAGCCTTACATCTTAGAATGTTAAAGCTGGAAAAGGCAGGGTCACATGGTTCGTATAAATCTACCCACTAAAGTCCCCCAGCCCCAACAATTTTACAGACTAGGAATCTGAGGCACAGAAAGGTTAAGCAAGAGTTATTAAGTTTGCATAGTTAGTGAAAGAACCAAAAAAAACAAAAAACCAAAAAAAACCCAGTGCCATCTGGTTGATTCCTACTCATGGTGACCCCACGTGGCACAGAATAGAACTGCCCCATAGGGATTTCTTGGCTGTAATCTTTATGGAAGCAGTTCACCAGGCCTTTCTTGCACAGCACTGTGGGTGGGTAGGTGGATTCGAACCGAGTGCAAACCACTTGCCCCACCCAGTGATCCTCATTAGTGGAAGACCTGAAACTTAAACCTAGCTGTTACCATTGTGTGCTGTCGAGTTGATTTTTGACTCACGGTGATGAGAAACCCTAGCTGCTTGACTGTAAATCTTGCACTGGCTCCCAACTCTCTTCCATCCAGATGATGACATTTGCCATTGAAAACCCATAGGCGATGTAAGATTATTCTTCCCCCAAGAGTGGGATGAAGCACGAACTGATTTTCCGTGAGAAGGGATTTTGGGGTAACAGTTCTAACTTCGTTCTTTCCTCCTCTTCCCCTTCCTGTCCAGGGTGCCCTGAAAACATTGGCTGGGTGCAGGGGAGTGAGGAACCGTGCCCAGTTCCCCGTGGTTTTCTCTCCCCAGCTGCAGAGCTCAGCAAGTGCTTTTGAGCTCACTGTTCACTCTGAGGGCCCATCCTCTGTTGTAAATTTTCCTCCCAGAGCACGTGACGATGCATTTCTTGACTATATATCCCAACTGCAGCTGCAGATTTGTCAGAGTGCTGAGCCCAGCTCAGAGGAAGGACGCTCTTGGACTTGGCGATTCAGGAATTGAGAACTTGGGACGATTTTGTCACTCTGGTAAGTTAGCAATACTCCTTTGCTTTGGAGACATTTGAAAGAGTGATATTGCTAACACTGAGTGGATAAAGCTTTCCTTTCTTTTCTTTGTTCTAAGGAAACTTTGCTTTGAATTAAAAATAGTTTTAAGTTTTAGATGCAAAATGCAAACTTTTTTCTGCTCAGTTAAAAAAAGTTTCCCAGTGATTAAAATATGATTAATTTTCTTTTAAGCTCCTTTGTCTTCTATTGATTTTTCCTTTTACTCTTTTTTAGATTATAAAAGTCGTGCACGCTCATTTTAAGAAATGCAAATAGGACAGACATGTATAAACTTAAAATGGAAAGTCCTCCTTTCTTCTCCCACCCCCTCTTCTTGCCGCCTGTCCCACCCACTCCACCTCCTCATAGATAACTCCTGTTAACTCTTCTGTGGGCTTCTCACCTCTTTCTGCATGCATTTACAAGCTTTGTTGATATTGCAGTTCTTCAAGGCTCGTGCTGCCTCTCCTTCCTGTACTGAGGAGCTGTGGGAGAGTTCTAACCTGGAGGTTTCTCCTCAGACCCCCGCTGTGTGAGCAGTGCTTCAATGCTGAAGATGGAGCCTCTGAACAGCACCCACGCCAGCACCGCCGCTTCCAGCAGCCCCCGTGAGTCCCATGTGCCCGGCAGTGGCAGCAGCAACGGTAACGAATATTTCTACATCCTGGTAGTCATGTCCTTCTATGGCGTTTTCTTGATTGGCATCATGCTGGGCTACATGAAATCCAAGCGGCGGGAGAAGAAGTCCAGTCTGCTGCTGCTGTACAAGGACGAGGAGCGGCTCTGGGGCGAGGCCATGAAGCCACTGCCCATGGTTACGGGTCTGAGGTCGGTGCAGGTGCCCATGATGTTGAACATGTTGCAGGAGAGCGTGGTGCCTGCCCTGTCCTGCACCCTCTGCTCCATGGAAGGGGACAGCGTCAGCTCTGAGTCCTCCACTCCCGACGTGCACCTGACCATCCAGGAAGAGGGGGCGGATGATGAGCTGGGGGAGACTTCAGAGACGCCCCTCAATGAAAGTAGCGAAGGCTCCTCGGAGAACATCCACCAGAATTCCTAGCACCCCTAGGGCCTCTGGAGGTGACCCCATCAGCTAACATCCTTAGCGAGAGCAAGGACACTTTGCAAGTGTCTGCTTTCACTTTTCCAAGGCAGCTGCCACTTTGCAGAGACCCGTGGTGAGCCCCGAAACCAGGGTGGGGTAGGGGACAAGGCTTGGCCAGAGCCAGCAGCCGCATCAAGAAGATCACCATGGGCCTGTGGCTTGGCCCCACTGATGAAAACGCCTGGAAGACATGCAGTGTGTATATTTACTTTGGGGCGTGGGTGTTGGGGTTGCTGTTCAGAACTTGGTACAGGACAATGTGTGTGCTGTTGCTTTCCCACTGGATGGCCTTGGTAACTCCTCCAGCATCTGCCCACCTAGAGGGCTGCCCATGACAAGCTGAGGGCCTAGTTTTGATTTGCTAACTTGCCTAGAGCTTTGTTCTTCTAGATCTGGTTGGCTGTAGGTGTGCCTGTGGCATTAGTTCCCAGCCAGTTATAGCCCTTCTTTTGGATTAGAGGGAGAAATTTGATGGAAGACTTTTGATGGGAGAAAGCTGACGATCTGAATCTGGCCTGTTTGCATACTGTAAGAAAAAAAAATGAAACCTTTAAACCTGTTAACATTGGCTGGGGTTATAGGAGATGGTCTGCTATATTGACTCTTGTTTAACTTATGACCCTTAGCTCTCTGACCTGTGACTGCCCAGTTTCAAATACTGGCCTGATGCCTTTTTGGTTGGAAGGGCTTACCTAGAATCTGACCTGCAGTCTGAATGGCAATGCAGGGGCCTCTTGCTGACCTTTCTAGAAGGAGTGATAATGAGGTTGAATGAGGCCAAACCGTTATCTCTGCTGCTGCTCATTCTCCCAGCCTTGTCTTCTGAGCTGGGAAGAAGGACATTATGTGGTATTCAGTCACGTAGCTGAGATCTAGAAGGGCATTCTTAGAGATTGCACAAAGCTGAGGGCCAAGTTCTGTGTTTCCTGGTCCCGGGTCCTGACACTCGTTTGCTGTGTGGCCCTGGGCATGTCATCAAGAAGCTTACTGCTTTCTTAAGACTCCTAAAGATCCATATCCCCAGGGGGCTGGGAGGATGATAAACTCTGTGATAAACCCTGCAAGGCCTGGTGTGAAGAAGCTGGAGGAGAACCACATATTTCCTTTTTGGCCAGTTAGTCTGAAAAGGGCTGGGATATGCTTATTTGAAGGAGCAGTTGGAGACTCCAAGCACATGCAACTGGGGAATTTAGGGTGAATCACCAACCCACCCCTGCTGTAGTTTTCCCAGGACTGAATCAAAGAAGCAGAGACCACATTTTACTCTGCAAAGCTCTAGGGGTGAGATTCCTGGTGGCGGAATGTTAACACGCCCAGTTAAGGGAATGAAAAGTCTAAAAGAAAAATGCCCCGCCATGCTTGCCAATGTCTCCATAGATTCCTAGACCTTTCAGACCCGTGAAGGCAAGAAGGAAGAGAAACACACCGAGAGGTCAAATTTAATTCTAGTAAAGAAACTTTTTTTTTTTTTTTTTTTAAATAAAAGAACATAATCTCCCTGGATAGGAGACGCAGCACAGACTACTGTCACCAGGAAAGGGTTAAGAGAATAGGAGCTGGTTTATCCCTGGGCCCTAACACAGAGCAAGAGGAAATTTATGTTTGGGGAGAAAAGGGCCCTCTGTTCACTTTAAAATTCAGAGTATGGATTTACTCCAAAGGGGGCTATTTAAGTTGAAAGAAGCCAAGTTAAGCTTGGCCCCTTGCCTGGAATCACTTGAATTCTGAAACTTTACCGCAACGGACATGTGCGTTGTCACATTTTCCATTGCTTTATCCTGAAGTGGGGTGCAAGTCTCTCTGCGCCTATTCAAAAGTGATGTATATACTTCTTATTCTATTGAGTTGTAAAGAATTGTCTTCTGTATTTAACAGTTTATAATTTTCACAGTATTTTTTAATTTAAATAAACAAACACATTTTCCCCCTAAAGTCATGAATTCTTTTTTTGATTCTTCAACATAATTCCCAGTTTCTAAGAAATACAGACATCCAATTCCCAGTTTCTAAGAAATCCAAGCCATCTCTGGGTTTTGCTCCTATTCCAAGCCAGACTCTCTCTAAGGCATATCTTATTTCTGCCTTAAGCCTGGGATAAGCAAGGCTTGGCTTGTCTGTCCTTTGAGATGCTTTGCAATGAATGGAAAACAAACTGCAGATGGTCTTTCATTAACGTCTCTTTTTAATCTGATGGCCCAGTGCCTTTGGACATGAACCTGCAGCGACATGGCAACTACCTCTAAGATGTTGCGCCAAATTTGGCTCCAAGAGAAGGTTTGATTTGCATGTTGGCTTGACAAATACAAGCCACACACGTGGCCCCAGCAGCACAGGCTCATGGGCAGGGAGTTGCTGTATTTGTAGCAACACAGACCTGTGGACCTATGAAGCCTGAAGCCTATAAGCTGGGGTTGGCCCTCCTTCCTTTCCTAGGCTCCTCCCAACTGAGACTCATTTCTAGACCCCTCCCACTTGGTCCTGTTTCCTTCGAACCCACACTGGCCCAAAGGCTGAGGTCTGGACAAGCTACTGCAGTCTACTTTTGCGGTTTTAGTTACATGATCTGAAGAGCTAAAGAAAAATCAGAAAACCCGTGACCCATTTTGCATCAAGCAGATGGTAGAAGTGTCCTTGCTTTTTATGTTTCTCTTTTTCCTTTGAGTTTGGCTTTCTGTTTCAAGTGGCTGTTCCCATCAGGCCCATAAAGCACCGTCTCCCTAAAGGACTTACAAGAGTACAAGGAGCTTGGCTGTTTCCCAGATAATGCCAAGTATCTGATCCACCAGTTCCTACTCTGACAACATAAGATGAGAAGATGATTGTAAAAGACGAAAAAGCTTCTTAGTTTATCCCAGCTTAACATCATTCTTGGTAAGGAAATAGTTAAGGAAAAGATTTTACCATGAGTGGAAGAAGAGGGAATTCTAAACTCTAACTTTCCTAAAAATATGCAGAGTACACTATGTCGTTTTAATGGAATATTTGTTTTCTTAAAAAAAAAATAATAAAAGAAGTTCTAAGCAGAACCTAAGGCCCAAGGGGTTTGGTCTGTGTGGAGTTACTCATGCATGTGAAAAACGGAACAGGGAATTTGGCCCTGTGCACCTAAGATATTAGAAACATATTTTAACACACTTAAATGTTAGGGATGAGGTAAATGGATCGTCCCGCTTGCTCCATGCTGTTCTAATTACACCTTTAGACGTCAAAGGCAGGCAAGGATGCTGCAGAGTAAAAGATTTCCTTCACGGACAGAATCATGGGGTCAAAACTATCAGGAAAGGCTGAAGTTGGGCCAAGGAATGAGCGCTCTTGGCTCACGGCTCTGGTTGGAAAGTGGTTGGAAAGTGGACCCCGTGGTGCACTTTGGAGATTCGACTGGAGGTTTTCATGGTCAGGCATGCACTCCTAGAACCCAGCTGTGGAAAGATCGTTTATCATCCTGTGAAGTGCTGTTCTGACCCTAGCTGCTATGCAACAGTATGTAATTTATACTTCAGGTTTGAACAGAGCATAGATTTGCTCAATATCCTTACCCTAAAGTCTGAGCACTGTGCTGGAGAAACTCTCAGGGGGGTGTTGTGGGTCACGGGATTGGAGGTGGGTCTAGAGCTAGAGGGAGACATGCCAGCTGGTTCACCAGGACGGTGGCTGGAGCAGGGGATGGAGTGCAGGAAGGCAGGGGCTAGATGAGGGGTCAGGTAAGGACAGGAAGGCAGGGGGTAGATAGAGGTTGGGTAAGGGCAGGAAGGCAGGAGGTAGGTGGCCGTTGGGTCAGGGCTCCACCGAGTTCTGTCTGGGTTTCTAGCAGAGCTCTGCCGTTATGTTGCTCCGTAGCTCTGGGGAAGCTATCCAACTTCCTGACATGCAGTTTCTCTCTTTCAACATGAGACCAAGATGCTCCCTCTTTGGGGAACTTCTGATGAAAAGAATAATAAAACACCCTGAGGAATACTGAACGCCACATGAAACTAAAGGAAAGTAACTTCAGGCTTCTACTTCTTTAAATGTGTCCCGGCATACATCTCAAATAACGTCACAGAAACCTCCTCTTCTGTGAATGGTTCCCCCAGGAGACGGAAATGTTCAGAAAAAGGACACGATTTGCCAGAGGAGAAGGGTCACAAGAGAGAAAAACCACTGTTCAAGTCTGCCTTCCCTTATTTCTGAAATGCTTCCTCCCACACAGCAAGGAACAGTTTGGGATGTGAGCCGTTACCATGGAGACAACAAAGCCAAGGTCACTGGATTTGAGGAGCCAGTGGATCTGAAGGCACTGGAACATTGTTGTTTTTACTATTGTTAGGTGCCGTTGAGTCGCTTCCAACTCATAGGGATCCTACGTACAACAGAACAGAACACTGCCTGGTCTTGCGCCATCCTCACAATTGTTGTTATGCTTGAGCCCATTGTTGCAGCCACTGAGTCAATCCATCTCATTGAGGGTCTTTCATTTTTTTGCGTACGCTGTCTTTTACCAAGCATGATGTCCTTCTCCAGGGACTGGTCACTCCTGATAAAATATCCAAAGTATGTGAGACGTAATACGCCATCCTCACTTCTAAGGAACACTTTGGCTGTATTTCTTCCAAGACAGTCTTGTTCGTTCTTCTGGCAGTCCATGATATATTCAGTATTCTTCGATAACACCAAAGGCATCAATTCTTTTTCGGTTTTCCTTATTCATCGTCCAGCTTTCACATCCATATGAGGTGATTGAAAATATCATGGCTTGGGTCAGGTGCACCTTAGTCTTAAAGTGACATCTTTTCTTTTTAAAACTTTAAAGAGGGCTTTTGCAGCAGATTTGCCCAGGGAAGTACGTTGATTTCCTGACTGCTGCTCCCATGGGCCCCAGTAAAATGAAACCCTTGACAATTTCAGTCTCTTCTCTGTTTATCATGATGTTGCTTACTGGTCCAGTTGTAAGGGGTTTTGTTTTCTTTATGTTGAGG